CTCCGTTAGTATGCATTTTTGAAAAATGTTTTTGGGTTTGTTTTTATTGTTTTTTCAGGCTCTATCAATCATTAAAATTTTTCAGATTAATCCTGGACCACCCTGTATATAAACTTTAAATTTCCTATATATATAGAAAATTTTAGTTCAGATAATGCCGCTTGAGAATGAGGGCGCTTTGTGGTATTCAACTAAAAAGCACTGTTGCCGGAGTGTGGCAATGCAAAGTTTTGGTCAGTGTTTTCAACATAACGGAACAAAATGATAGCAAAAAGTATAGGATTTTAGTTTTTTTAAATACTTATAGGTAATATATTGGTCGGTTGGTCTATTTTTATTGAAGAAAATATTTCTTTTCTTTTGCCATCTCTATTTCTCTAAATAAACACGGCTTCGTTTTTACTAATAGGTATTTAAAAAAACTAAAATTTCTTACGTTTTGCTTCTCTTGTCAATTTATAAAAAAAACAAAGAATTTTTTCGGACTTGGACAAATTAAATTATATAGGTACAAATCTTATGACAAATACCATTCGGTATTATGTTCAAGTTTCCGTTAAAAAATCCGTCAGCCGTAAGAGTATCTTTTTTCCTCAACCTTTATTAAAACGTTATGTTAAAAACACTGACCAAAACTTTGCATTGGTACACTCTGGCAACAGTGCTTTTTAGTTGATTCCACAAAGCGCCCTTATTCTCAAGGGGCATTATCTGATCTAAAAAGTTTCTATATATATATAGGAAATTTAAAGTTTATATATAAAAAATATTCTTATATATAGCAAAAATAATTTACGGACAAACGGCGCCTCATAAAAAAACGAAGGTTTAAAAAAACTGCAAGTGATTATCTGAACTAAAAAGTTTCTATATATATACAGGGATGGTAATGTGCTCTTAGGCCGTTTAATAAATAAAGACAAATGCATTATGAGAAGTGGGAGTGGTCGAGTGACGTAAGAGTAGTGGGGCAGGCCAGACCGCGCCGCGCCAGGGCTGGATGCTCCCGTGTACGAGTTTTGGTTCATGCCGCGCATGACGCCACTTGATGAGTAGTTGCCGTGCGAATACACGAATAATAGTAATATTATCAAAGAACATAGGGAAATATCTGGACATAGTGCGTTTTTATTAAACTTTATATTGAAGAAAGTGTTATAATATGGATAATAGATGCTTTTAGTCCTTGATAACATTTAGGGCTGTAGTTTAAGCGTTGGTGTTTTAAATTAAACTTATAGCCACTGTCCAGAAAATGTTTATAGGAAACAGAAGCGGTCTTAACGTTAATATTGTCTATTCTTTTTGTGGCATTTAACCACTGTTTCTACAAATCAAAGTTTTTTTGGGAATCGATTAAATTTAATGTTTTTATTTAAAGGGTTTTTCTTGGACTGGTTGTCTGAATTGCATCCAAATATGCCACACCTTATTTTTATAAATGCAAATGGTACGACACAAACAAAACAAGTTAACGCAACACAAAAACAATAATAAACAAACAGAACAGGTTAACACAACGCAATAACAATAATTTAAACACTGAAAAGTAATTCGAATCTTACCGAAAGCAAAAACAACAAGTTAAACAAAAAATAGAGCAAGTTAACATCCAACAGCATCGCAAAAACAAGAATTTTAGCAGCAGATAATTAAAAAGCACGTTAAAGATTTAAAAACACTCATCAAGTGACGTGTTTAAGCCCCGCCCAACATGCGCACCATCCTATCTTAAGGTGTATGTATCTTGGTGGGATTGAAAAGCAGTTCGAGGAGGGGAAGTAAAACATTGGCGGACGTTTAATTGCTTTGATTTAATCGTTTTAAAATCTTGTACTGCACGCTTATGGCAGAGGGGAAATAAGTATGTCGTTATCCTATTCGTTCAACAATGGTTGTTTGTCTCTCGTATTTAAACGTTTATCTCACTTATTCGTACGTTTCATATAGCATGCATCTTTGTTTATTAAACGGCCTAAAAGCCCATTACCATCCCTGTATAGGAAATTTAAAGTTTAGGTATATATAAAAAATATTCTTATATATAGCAAAAATAATTTACGGACAAACGGCGCCTCATAGAAAAACGAAGGTTTAAAAAAACTTCAAGTGATGGGCAAGCAAGTTAAAAACAAACTTTATCAAAAACACTTTATTAGATAAAAGCTAAATATAATAAATCATTAGAATTAAAATGTACTAGAATCACTTAGATGTTTAGAAAAAATTATTATATTTTGTATACTTACAAACACCTTATACTCACCAAGCTTGAATAAGACCCAACTGGAGACCGGAAAAATAAAATCAAATTAGTTCACAAAAAATAGTTTGTAATAATTAACAACTTTGTGCTTTATTTTCATAAAATTAATTTTGATTATTTGAAAAATTATGACAGTCACTATAGAAAAATTATACAATATTTAATTTCAGTGCTTTTATTATTTTTTTCCCACCAGAGGCATGTAATGGATATTTGCTCCTCTAGTGGTAAAAAAAGAAAACGTAATTCGTTCAATATGTTAGTCAATTTTCCCATTTAAGTTTGTACTACTTAATGGAATAGTTTTTGAAATTAAAAAAAAACTTTGTATTTAAATGTGATTACAAAATACTACTCGTAATATGATAGAAATTAACATTATTAATAAAAGTTATTTTTAAACTATTTATCAAAAATCAATTTTTTTAAGAGGCTTTAAAAAAATTTAACAAACACAGGGTGCTTCAAAAAACATGCGACAATGTCCGGCTGGAGATTGATTAGGCATACAAAAATAAAAGTTTATATAAACGGAAGTCCGGAAATGTTTAGTTTTCAAGTTTATTTATTTAAAAAAAAACTGCTTTTTAAAAATATGTTAAATATCGTTTGGCTGGTTTTGTTGAAAATTGGCAAATTTAATTATACGTTTTGTCAATATTTTCCAAAACAGCGTTATTTATCGCAAAAAATAAGATGTAGTTTTTGTTTAACTGAAAAAAGGTGCAAAATATCTGTTTTGTCAATTTTATGCAATATAGTTTCAAATTTTTTTGTCGAAAACGATGTAATATACAAAAAAATTTATTTTTAGTGGCTTAATCACAAAATAATATAAAAATTACAAGTCAGTGGCGTACAATTTTTTGTCATTAATATTTGTTAAGGTTTCCCCCAGGACGACACTGGACTTTTAATCTAGTAAAAGCAAAATTAGCTCCTTAAGGATAATTATCAGTATAAATGTTGTTGTCAAATTTCAACAAAATCGGTCAAACGATATTTGGACGCCTTTCTGCACAAAGGAACCAACCCACAAAACCAAAAAAATCGAGATATTTAGCCTATGAACTAATTAAGTATGTATAATTTATCTGCAAAATAGGTCATAGCCAAAATGCAAGTGTAGTGAAATCTATTAATCATTGAACCAACCAACATTCAATAATAGTGTGGATTACTAATCCAGAATTAGAATCTGTAGAATATCTGCAAGTGGGTTGGATCTTTTTTTGTAAAAAAGCAGGCTGGTAGACCCACTACCAAAGTCTTTAAAGATTTCCTGCTTCTGCAAAATATAAAGTCTTGATGCATTTTTTTGGTAGCTTACAAGATGAGGTGGGGTTGGAAGATGATGTGGACTAATTTCAAATAGAATCAAAATTAATTCATATTACCATTATTATAGTAATATCAGTTGTATTTTGTTTGGAAATAAATAATTGTCGCTTTTCTTTAAATACATACATACATCATATAGTGGTTTTCATAAATTGCAGAAAGGAACCAACCAACAAAAGCCCATTAAATTATATCCCTTAAACCTCCGTAAGTCCAAAACCGGCATAAAATTAACAGGTAATTTTAAAATTATTAAAATCTTTGATAGCGTTTTTCTCAGTTTCATCATGGTGTGGGTTGGTCCTATTCTGCAGAAAGCCGTCCATTTAAGATATTTTAAAAAAGTCTTTTTATTTAAATGTTTCTTTCGGCCCTACTTTTATATGAACTTTTTTTCCTATTTTTGGATGACGAATCTCCAGCCGAGCATAGACGCTTGTTTTGTAAAACACCCTGTATGCGTAATTCAAAAACTACCTGACAAAAATGAAATTTTTATCTTAAATTACCAGCAATAAAATTACATTACTCTTAAGAAAAAATAATATTTCGGTACCTTGGAGCTGTTAAGCAAAAATGCCTTATCTGCAATATTTAATAATTGTAGATAAGTAATTTTTTCTTAACAGTGCAGCTTCACTTAGAGCCTTGTCATTCCCTGGTACCCATTTGACAACAAAACAAATAAAATAACTTCTCTACAAACAAGGTAATTTCCTTCATGGTTATTAAAGAATAATGTCTTGGTAATATTAAAAAAATAAAACAAGCACAAAGTTGAAATATTAAAATTATCAGGTGTGTATTAAATCTCAAACCAGTGACTAATTAAATTAGTTTCTTTTTCATTCAAAATGTATTTTCTAAAATATTTCCCTTTAAATAAAACTATTGTCTATTTGTTTTAAAACAACCTTAGTGTGATGTAAATGAAAATAAAACTAATTGTGCCTACCTAACCCAGGTTAGCTTTGTTTAAAAAAAAACCTAACAAAATGATAAAGTAAATGTTTGCTTTCCTATCTTTTTTTTAATATAAAAATAAACACTTCGTCTCTAATAAAAATAATTGTATTCCGCTTCTTCAAAAATTTCGTCTTCCTAAAACGAACAATACAAAAATAAGAAAAGAAACCTGAGCTAAATAGATATCAAATACATAGCATAAACTATACATACCTAAAAACCCTGCAATGTGTTTTTAATGACTATCACATGTCTACACAAACTGTTTTTCTTTCTAACTATATTTTTTATCAGACTTAAATATCATGAATGACAAAATTCTGCTAAAAATTGTTAGATTTATACAGTTAACATTTTGAAATAAAACCTGTTAAAAATTTTTTAATCAAAGAAACATCAATAACAATATATAGCTTTAAGAGTAAAGCAAAAATAATAAAAACTACGAAATATTTTTAAAAACATGCTTTAAATTTGGTTTAGTTCAAGCTATCCTCTACATGTTCAAAATGTTAACTAATAAAAAGTGAATGCCTACCTGTCCAGAATCCTATAAAAACTAACCTAATTTGACGAAAAAGACTTTTTGATACTATCTTATTATCTTTAATAAATAGACAAATACATTTACATTAATTTAACCTAAACCTAAACGCGAAATGTTTAAGTTGTATAGTGTCACATATAAAATTATAAATCAATTAGGTAATACATTGAGATTTAAAAAATTAGCGATCTTCTTGCAGACGGAGGTTTTGCACAGTGAATTAATTGCACAGCAACTTTTTGTGGACGTATTTAATGTTAACTTCTTTTTTATAAAGATATGCTTTTAAATTCAATTTGTAAGAAACCAATAGAACTAAACAAATGCAAACACCTCCGCTGCATGCATCAAAAAAATAAATTTGCCAATTATTTATATATTAATATTATTATCTGTTTAAACTATTTAATAATACTTGTCCATAGGACGTAGATATGAAACATAACGTACAGCTGGCGTTGCTTTGGCAATTTAACCAGTGCACTTACATTGTTTAGAATCTCCGGTTGCCGCCCATGTTGCCGTTCTGGTTTCCATAGCTGCCACCGTAACCGCCTCCACCGCCGCCGGTGCCTAGAACAACAGAAACGCATTTCGTGCGAGTACTTGTCAACGACATGCAATTTATACTAAATACGAACAAGATGTTCCACAAATGTCCTCATTACAAAGAATGTCACAATACGAGTGCTAGAGTAATTATTAGGGCCGTTGTACTATCTGGCAGACAATCTCCATGGATACCATTGTTCTCACAACGATCGATATGGAATTTAACTGTCAGATAGACTAACTGGAACTTAACCAAAGATTGATAAACAGGCCCTTAGACGGCCAAAAATTTCTCATCTAAGCCAGATTGCTAGGCCAATAAGGCTAATAGTTAACCAGCAATTAACTACTTCAGCAATACTTATAATAGAAATGGAAAAAACACCAAAAGATTTGTAAACTTTATTCTTTTACAAAAAAAAGTAATAAGTCCCCAGATTGTGCTTTTTTATTATTGGTTTTTTAAAGAAGTCATTCTTGATATAAAGTTTTTGATTGTTAAAAAAATAATATTGACATACAAAATTTGTGATTTTATTTACAGGGTGTTTAAAAATTTGGAAAACATAAAATCGATTCAAGAGAGAAGTAGGTACTGTCTGTCCACTCTAAGTTGGCTGAACTAAGGAATTTTGTTGTTTAGATATTAAAGAATTGTCGTACTGTGTGCTTTTAAAACAGATTTTATATTATAAATAATACTAGTATATAATATGTACTAGTATTATTTATAATATAAAATCTGTTTTAAAAGCACACAGTATGACAATTCTTTAATATCTAAACTACAAAATTCCTTAGTTCCGCCAACTTAGAGTGGACAGACAGTACCTTTATTTTTAATGTTTATAAAAATTGTTGTAAGAAAAGTTGTTTTAATTAAAAACCAAGTCTGGATTAAAAAATTACAAGTTTTTTTTTTGTTTTTTGATTTTGTACAAAATGAGACATCAAAAATTGGGGGTTTAGTAGACAAATTCTAGGCACCCTAAATTTTTTAATTGGCTACATTGAGTAAACCAAAATAATTAAATGATAAATGTAAATTAAATTAAGGCATTGAGTACCAATTTTAAATTTTAATAATACCAACATAATTAAATGTGTCAAATTTTGAATAAAAAATTTAAGTACAATTTGAAATTTTAAATACAGGGAGTTTGGATACACCTAATAAAAAAAATTGTAGTAAAATTTGTGATTTTACCTACAGGGTGTTTAACAAAATCATTTAAGATAAATTACTCATATCAACCACTTATTCAAGATAAAAGTGTCTTCATTGTAACTCTTTTGAAATGTCATATTTTGTCTTTATTTTAAATTTTCACATAGTAAAAACTTATGATTTTCCATTTCTATTATACACATTGCTGAATTAGTTAATTATTGGTTAACTATTAGATGGATTAGCCTTATAATCAAAGTAAAAGGGTTTATTTATCTATTTTAAAAGACTCCATAGACAAGATTTCTATAAAAAGCACAAAATCAATCACACTACACACTAGATTGCATCCCTAGGAAATGCTTGCACAGCATTCTCAACTGCACACAAAATTTCGACAGTGAATGTCATGTTATGGTTGGTTTATTGCTTTCTATAGAAAATAAAGTCGAAAATATTAAGAAACCCCTTGGATATTGTTTAATGGTTATGTAAACTATAGTTATAATATGTAAACTATAGTTATAACTACAAAAAGGTGATAAATAAATTTGGCGCATTTTATCTAAAACTCCTTTGTTAAAAAATACATTTTAGGAACAGGTTGTAAAATCAAAAAATACTATGCAAAGCAAGTTTACTGAAAACCTTAAAATTCAAATGCCCTGTAATAATGTAAATTAGCATTTAAAATTGTACTGAATGTTTTTAAACAAGTGCATCTATTTAATAATTATTATTGAAAGTTAATATTTTAGGCAATATTTTCCGTTTTCCTTACCTACTTAGATGACAAGATAGATGACGCCCCCTACTAACTTAACTTAAAATTCCTTTACAAGACCAATTTTAGGTGCAATTTCTGATAAAAGAATTATTTGCACCCTTCATTCAAGTACAAAACCATGATAGTTAAAGCATATAGTAAAAGCATTCATTTCTTTATTTTAAAAAACCAATCGGACTCTACACACTAGATTGCGTCTTTATAAATGTTTCTTGAATTTTGCCTATTTACTTTCAAGAGAAAGTAATAAACCAATCACTTCACAGCATTCTCAACCGCACAAGATTGCGAAAGTGAATGCCATGCTATAATCAGGATTCGAAAATTTTTGAATCCTAAAATGTAAACGAATACGTTAGATTGATTGCATAATTTTTCAAAATAAAAACCCCAGAGGCATATGTTTACTCAACTTCTTATAACAGTTCTATAGCGACCCGAATTCCGACATACATATACAAATTCCGTCACACTTTTCAAAAATTTTGCTCAATTTAACAATTAAAAACTTTTTCTGTTGACTATTAATGGCCCAAAAGACTAATTTTCAAAATTAACTTTTTTAGTTTAATTTTTCATTTCTGCTCGTTAAAGGTACATTTTTTTTGTACACGGAAAATAATTAAATTTAGTTTTAGCTCAAATATATAAATTTTTAAAGGTTGCTTATAAATTTTGAAAATTTGTATGTTTTTAAATATTAAATTTAGACTTAATTCGTATTTTACTGCTATGTTTAATTTTGTTTTTTATCTCTTGTTTTTTGTTTGTGTTTTTGCAATATGATAAGAATTAAAAGTAAAATAAAAACTAAGTCCTAATATTAATATTTCGAAAGCAACGAATTCAAAATTTTTATGAGTACTGCTATGTTTAATTTTGTTTTTTATCTCTTGTTTTTTGTTTGTGTTTTTGCAATATGATATGAATTAAAAGTACAATAAAAACTAAGTCCTAATATTAATATTTCGAAAGCCACGAATTCAAAATTTTAATGAGTACCCTTTAAAGCTTCATATAGTTGAAACTTTTTTGTGTACAAAAATTGACCTTAGGGAGCAGAAAAATTAAATTAAAAAAAATCGAATTTTTACAATTTTTTTTTAATTGGGCTGATTTTTAGAGAAAGCTCCTAAAACATGATTAACCAACATGTTTTTATAGGAGACTAAAAAAAATTCGATTTTTTGGACCACCATAACTCTCAATTTGATTGACGCTGAAATCAATCGAAAATGCAAATTCATTGGTCGGCACAAAATTCACAAACAAATAAAATGTTAAAAAAATTTCAAACATGACGATAAAGATTTTCTTTTCATGTCATTATTTACTTTTCCAACTGAAAAATTTCACTGAAATTTTCAAATTTACTTTGGCAGCATTAAATATTGTGACTGTGATAAAAAAATTAAATAAGAAAAAAAAAAACGATTTTCTGGAGTTAGTGCCAATTACTACAAAAAAATCTTTTAATTATTTACGATTTTTCGTAAAAAAGAACGCGAATTTGACTAATACCTAATACTTAGGTCTATACAAAATAAATAAGTATACTCGTTCGTCAACTATATTCAAATCGATAAGCTGTTATTCGGCATTAGCTGCAACTGAAGTCGGCTGCTAATAAAACTAGAAAATGCCGATTAGTGAATTTACAGAAAAATAACGATCCGAATTCACTGACGTATTTTAACAATATTTAACTAAATAATTTTTTTTTAATCATTGAAATTTGGTTTCCATTCAAATATTGGACTCCGGAAAAGTTAGTGGGGGTGTGACACCCCCTACACGTCCCTGTCTATCAGAGTTGGCAAAAACCCAGGTAAAATTAGAAAAACACCGACCCGCAGGGTTTTTCTGAGCTCAAAATGCTTTTCGATTATGACGAATTTGACACTAATATGGAGTTTATGCCAATTAAAAATAAGCTTAAAAATTTAAACTTATACTCAAATGCACTGGATTTATAAAAACAATTACAACGTTTGGACAGCACCTTGGATGCATTACAAAGCGATAATGTTACATTGTCGAAAGCAGTTGACATCTAGATAAATCTTCTAAATGATATTTGTATCCGAAATTATAAAACGCTTTCATCAAGCTATAATGCCTTTCCATTTCTTAGCTTACCTCTGGACCCAAATTTCCAGTCTATGTTTAAAAAAAAAACTATTGGAAATTTGGAAGCTCATAAGTGGTGGTTGGTTATGCACGAAAAATCTATAAAAATGGGTAAAAATGGTAATGGTTGCAGTCCAGAATTTTGCCTTTTTGTGTTGCAGCTTTTAAGCATTCCAACTAGTTCAGCTGCAATTGAACGAATTTTCTCAACTTTTCGCCATGTTTGGTCAAAACTTAGAAACAGGCTAAAGCCAGAAGTTAAAAAATTGGTAAAAAATTATCGTTACTACAAAAATTGCAGCAATGATGAAGATTGATATGGTAATACCCTATCAAAATTTATGAAACGATCTCCAGTTGTTTGATTTTAGGTTTTTTTATTATTGATCTGGATATTTGTTTAGTCATTTTATCGTTTTTATTAGAAAATGTTTTTCAATAAATATTTTGTATGTTATAATTATGTTGTGCAATAAAAGTTTTAATTTTTAGAGGAATTATATTAAACTACGAGAAAAAAATATCAAAAACCTTCCGGGTTTTCCTAGGTAAAAAGAACCGAAAAAACCTGGTTGGTTTTTCTGGGTCGGGAATTTTTTTGCCAATCCTGCTGTCTATAATTGGTTTATTGCTTTTTATACAAAAATTCAAGAAACACCCCCTGGATATTGTTTAATTTTTATATAAACTAACCCCTTTTAAAAGGTAGTAAACAAATTATTCTTTGTATTAATAAAATACATTTTAGGGACAGGCTGTAAATTCAAGGAAGTTTATTGAAAACCTTAAAATTCAAATGTCCTGAAATTATGTATTATTAGCTTTTAAATTTGCACTAAATGTTTTTGAACAAGTGCATCTAATTGTAAGAAAATTATTGTAATAAATTTAGCATTACACTGAAGGTTTAGCAAATTATAAAATTTTAAAAGTTAATATTTTAAGCTTTAACAAGGTTTCCTTACCTACTTAGATGACACCCTCTACCAACTTTAAATTTTATTACTAGGCCAACTAGGTCCAATTTCTGATATCTGAATCATTTGCATCCTTAATTCTTTAGTACAAAATCATTATTTGATCAGTAAGTTCCTACCGAACATTTTCAGTGTTAAATAGACGTCATGGGCATGCGCTATACTAAATTTGCAACGCTATTTTAAACATTTAACTTTCAAAATGCTTAGTAGAAACAAACCTTGTAAAAATTTAATTAAAACATGCTATTCTTTTTGAAGGGATGTTCAGCATAAAAAAATGTATACTACATTTTTTCCTCAAGCATACAAAATACAACAAAATTCAGACTCACCTTCAGTAATGTGTCTTGCTACCTACTGGCTTTAACGATTCTTAACATAATACACAATCATTAGAAAGCACACAATCAAAATGTATGTTATACTTACTGTAAGGTGCCGGTCTCTGTTGCTGGTAGTTACTCCTCATTGCTCCTGCATTGAAGTCTTGGTTGTAGTTTCCAAAGTCTTGCTGGCCACCCCAGCTGCTGCCTCCCTGGTTATAGTCTTGACCTGCCCCTTGACTCCAATTGTTGCCGCCCTGGTTGTCCCAGGGGTTGCTTTGCCACGGTCCGTTGTTGCCGTAGCCGCCACCGCCGCCGCCATTACCCTGGTTGGACCAGTCACCTCCGCCGCTACCGCCGCGGTTGTTCCAGTTACCGCCGCTGTTTCCACTGTTATAGTTACCCCTTCCACCACCGCCACCTCCGCGGCCACCGCCTCTTCCGCCGCCACCTGAACCACCAGAAGTGTGTCTGTCCATTTCTGATTTGCTCAAGGCTTTTTTGACATCAACATGTTTTCCTTTAATTGTGTGGTTCCTCAACACTATAATAAATTTAAAAATTGGTATTAATAGGGTGGCCACATTTTGTTTAACGCTGCCTTTAGTTTTTTGCACCGCATTACCATTTAAGTTAGTTTTTTGTGTCGCATCACCCGCCTCCTGGCCCCCCTATTTGAGATCATTCAAATTAAGTGCAATTCTGCTATAATTTAACGACAAATTTAAAATATTATTTAAAAAATCCAAATATTACAGATTTTATACGATTTTACATTTTTATTATTTAATTTATTAAAATAAAAAAATATTTAAAATGGTATAAAATCTGTAATATTTGGATTATTTAAATAAAATTTTAAATTTGTCGATAAATTATACTAGATTGAATTGAACTACTTTAATTTGAATTATTTCAAATAGGGGGGCCAGGAGGCGGGTGATTAAAAGATGAAAAGTTGGTTAGTTATATTCACTCAACACGATCTAAACCCAAAAATACTGCACTTTCCGGTGTTAATAAATGCGGCCATAAAAGCCTTAAATCTAAAAATAAATATTACATAATCAAAATTTGATTTATGTCTAGGGTTCGGACAGTTGAAATTTTCAAATGAAAATTTCAACTTTGAAAGTTTAAACTTGAAATATTTCATTTAGTTGGAAAAGTAAAAATTAAAAAAATTTCAAATGAAATTTTCAATCCGAAAATTTCAACATTGCCTGTGAAAGTTTTAGAAATTTAATTGAAAGTTTCGCAATTTGCTGAAAATTTCGCATAAATTTCACATGCGGCCTCCCCTGGGACCTTTAATAATAATTTACAACAGATTCCGAATCGACCAATAAGAACGAGTTATGAAGCGTCTGGGCGTTTTTGTTTAGTTCGGCTTGGATTTGAATACACTATAAGTAATTATTGTTACTTATATGCATAAATTAATTTAAATAATTTAATTCAGTTACCAATTTAATTTGTAAATTAAATCAGACTTTAAATTTTTTTTAAAAGTCATGATTAATTTAATAATAATAAATAATAAAATACTTTATTTTCATCCCAAGAAACATACAGTTTATAGAGGGACACCTCTAATCATACAATTTAATAAATATTTTTTAATTCTTAATACATATCTTAAATCTAAATTAATTTTACTTTATTAATACATTTTAGTTCTAAATAGGAACATATAATTTAAATATAATATCACAGAAAAAAGAAAATCACGATATATCATTGTTTATTCAATAAAATTTGCCACACAAGACGACATATGCTTTTTAAATTTAAATCCTTTAAGTTATTTTATATTGTTTGGTAATTTGTTATAAACAGATGCTCCCTTAAACAGTATAGAGTTTTTACCGAATTCTCGAGGTAAATCCACATTTTCACTGATTCTGGTTGCATAATTATGCACATCTCTTCTATGTGAGAATTCAATACATGAGTGGCGTGATCCGTTTAAAACTTGATTTATAAAAATATTTACTTGATATGCATATATACTTTTTAATGACCTAATATTGCAATCCTTATAAAGATCAGCTGTTGGATAGCGCCTTTTAAGAGAATAAATATTTTTAATTGCTTTGTTTTGCAATACTTTTAAGCGTTTTAAATTTTTATCATAAGTACAAGTCCATACAATATTTAAATATTGTAAGTGACTATGAATCAGTGAAAAGTAGATTGACCTAAAATACTTTTTAGGAACAGCGTATAACCTCCCTAGCATACCAATCGGACCGGCAATCTTTTTGGAAACATAAGCTATGTGTTCCTTCCAAGAGAGCCTGTCATCGATTACCAAGCCCAGAAACTTCACACTGTCCACCTGCCTCAAAGGAAAATCATCATTTTGATAAATATCATTGTTTCTGTTATTTTTTTTTATAAAAATAAAAGAAGACTTATCAATTTAAACTTTTACTTTTGCTATAATTGCATCAGAAAACGGATAAAAAATGCCTTTGGCTCATAATATTTTGATGAAGAACCTTCAATTTTCGTAAAATTTCAGTAAAATATTTAAAAAATAATAAATATATATAAATATAAAACAATGAAAGTGGCACAATCTCATTAGCTTACCAAAAAGTGCTATATTAGTTTTAGAAATTTTAAAAATATTTTAGTAATTTTAAAAATATTTTAAAAGGAAATCTCAAGAAATTTGTGGTAAACATAGGTATTTACTATTTATATTATTGGTGCAGGGGCCCACAGAGGGGTAGGAGGTAAGAGAGGCAATTTGCCATGGTCCCAGAGTGGGCTTATTTCAATATTAATAAAATACACTTAAAGTGATTGAAATTTATTGAAAGTTTCAATAAATTTCATGAATTTTCCGAACCCTATTTATGTCTATTTTAGTTTAGTCATTGTGGTAAACTAAACGTTTCAGGCCGTCCATAAATCTTGTAACGCTGGAGGGGTAAAGGGGGTTTGAAGGGCCGTCACGTCCGATGGGGGAAGGGTTTATTATAGGGATCGACCGATACCGATATACTATATCGGTATATCGGCCTATTTTTGGTATATCGGTATATCGGCCTATCGGTTTATATTTGGCCGATATGTCGGCCGATATTTAAATTTGAAAACGCTTCTTAAAAACACTTAAAAATTATATTCAGAATGGTCTTGAAAAATCAAAAATCATATAAACGTATTATAATTTATTTATAACAAAACAAAAAATAAATAAACATAAAAAAATTCTTAATTAAAAAAAAAACAAAACAAAAAATATTCTAAAGCAGTTTTAAAATTATTGAATTAATTATTAATTATTAATATTTAAAATTAAGTTTTTCTAAATTGTAATGAAGAAAAATAAGGCTTTCTGCCCTGTCGGGTGTTAGCTGATTCCTCGCCGATTGGTAAATATTACCGGCTTGCGAAAAAAAGCTGCTCACTAGCAACACTCCCAGCAGGCGCAGAAAGATAAATCTTGACCAGCAAATACAAGGCCGGGAACCGGTCTTTCTTATTATTCCACCAACTAAAAGGATTTTCAGTTTTTTCGAGCACCAAGCACGACCTGTAGGCTACAGGCTGTAGCCCTTTATTTCTTCCTCGATCTTTGTAGGTTCAGCTTTTAAAGAAGAGGGACCTTTTGCCAATTCATTATAAACTGACCAAAATAGCTCGTGGGAATCGCGGGTGGTTTCATTACTTTACTTTTTTTTAGATGGTGGTGGTGTTGCACTAGCAGTTGATGAAATCAAAGTTGCCAATGATACATCTTCATTACTACTGTCATTTTTGTCACTCCCAACCTCTTCGACGTCGTGTTTTTGGATAATTTCGTATTCTCTTTTAAGGTCCGCAATAACAATTTTGCATTTGTTAGGTGTAAAAAAAATTCCTTTAAAGCGCGGGTCCAGGAACGTGGCAAACAACAGATAATTTTTTGAAGTTGCATGTTTGAAACGAAGCTTCAAATTATTTTTTAATTCGTCCTTCAATGTTCCGACGCCAGCGAAATTGCTTCCTTCACTGTCCAAATAAGCTTCAAGTGGGATAACTTCCGATATGCAACAGTTTGAGTGACTGACGATTTTTGTGATCTCTTCAAAGGGCTTCAATAGATTGATGAGGCTCTGTACCAGTTCCCACTCATGATAGTTCAAATCAGTCAAATTTGGATTGTTCACAATGAAGAGATTGATAGCTTTTTTCAATTCCAAGAGGCGCTCCAACATATAATACTCGGAGTTCCAACGAGTGCTGACAGCTTGAATCATTTTTTTTTGGTCCCATGTTTAGTTGTACTTGTATTTCATCAAAAGTAGTGCTTTTATTTTGGGCATGACATTCAATTTAATTCACGTATCAAAAAACAAAGAACTTTGTCTATGAGAACAAACAAAACAGCCGTTTGACAAGCGCATGGCCCGTTACCACGCGATAATCACATGGTGGACAGCGCACGGTCCTTATTGGTCAATTTGGAGGTGTCCACACCTACCGAAATTTTCTAGGGCACATTCAGTCATTAATTTTTTTGCAAAGTATTTTACGAAAAAATCAAAAATAAATAATAATTAAAAAATAAGCCGATATATCGGTATCGGCCGATATAGAAATCGCATATATCGGTATCGGCCAAAAAATCCATATCGGTCGATCCCTAGTTTATTAAAACGTTATGTGACAAAGTAAATCACATAAAATTGCTTATTTGTTTCATCTTCGATACAAAAAAGACTCGGAAAAAATATTTTTAAGGAATAGGGGAGTTTCATAATTCTTTATATAAATCCCCTGGGGGGTCTTTACATCATCACATTCTGTCCTGAAAGAGGGGGAGGGGGTCAATTTTGAAAATTTTCAGCGGCACGAGATTTATGGACGGCTCTTTTCAATTTTCAAAATTTAGATTTTTACCTTATTTATTATTTATACTTTAAAGAATATTTTAAGCATTTCTTCAAGAAACAATTCCAATTTTTTCCAAAGTAAACTTTTTGTTTATTTTCAAAATATTGATTATTACTTTGTTATTTATGCTGTAAAAAATATTTTAAGCTTTTCCTTATATAACAATTCCAATTTTTAAGTGACCTATCTCTTATTTTTATATATTATTATCTTGGACCTAATTATTTTTATCATAAGATTATTTTTTTACTGCAAAATAATTGATTAGACTATAACCGCGAAAAGAACGTGGAATAATGGTAAAGTAAATCGAGCGTGAATTAATTATTTATTCACCGCAACTTCACCATAAGCATGAAACCACTGGGGTAGATATGTTTTAAAACTGTTCATAAAAATGTTTTCATTGCTTAATGTTGTCCCTTAAGTTAAGGGCCTTAACCTTTATTAAATTTAGAAAAATGACCATAAATAATTAGATTATTTTTAATATTGATATTCCAACTAGAGATGCGACTTGAAAAAAAACGGTTCGTTTTTTTTGTTTTTTTTCAGGTTTTTTTTCATTGTTTTTTTTCAAATGGTTTTTTTTTTCACATTTTAGGTTTTTTTTCAAAATAAGTCCCATTTGCCCAATTTTTTATGTTTCCATGGACTAAAATTAGCCTCTAAATGACAATTAGTAAATGTAAATACAGTCTCGCGCTATGCACGCGCCACAACCACCGATTTGACCAATAAGGGCCGCGCTTGTTTTGATTTGGTCCTAAAAAAAGTAACTACATACATATAATATATTTGATTCAGCGGTTGATTTTTCAAAAGCAACCAAAAGCACTTTTTTCATGATTTTTCAAATTCTTGTAGAGTATGGAAATTTTTTTTTTCAAAAAACAATAGCAAATTCTTGTAGAACATTTGGACCAAAAAAGAAAACAAAAAAAAATCGATTTTTTTATTACGTTATTCGTTAGTATTGACCGTTGCACGTCTAAAAATCTCAAAACTATAAACTTCAAGCTTCAAATTGCTTTTTTTACGGCTCCAATACGACCATTTTTAACAAAGATACAGTTATCCGAAAAATCGCAAAAAAAAAATTTGTATCGTTTAATTTTTTTTTAGTGTAGAAATTTTACATTGCTATTGGTTTCTAATGTGGAAACTACCAAATAATAAGAAATCAGATTTTTTAGTCTTTGTCAAAATTTTCAATTTTAAAGAATTTAAAATATTCTACATATTACTCAAAATTTCATTTTGAAAAAAAACAAAAAAAACGGTTTTTTTTCATGTTTTTTTTCACATCTGAAAAAAAACCGTTTTTTTTACATCTCTAATTCCAACAAATTAATTGTTTAGCCAAAACCATTTATAAATTGTTTCATGCTCCAAAGAAATGGACCTATGCATCCAAAACTTGATTTCTGGATTATGATCACAATAGATTAATTAAAGACTGCTCTTTAATTATGTGAAGTCCAAAATATAAATATAACAATGCATTTAACATTCTACATTTGTGCTGCCATCTAGCCTGTTCTTTTCTTTCTTCTTTAAATTAGAACTGGGACTCTTAAATCTGTTTTCGCGGAGCGCGTCACAAATGCTTTTTGGTATAAAACTGTATTTAAATAATAATAATAAAGATTACTTGGAACAAAAAAATACCTTTTAAGAAATTTCAAACAAATTTAGGCTCAGTATAGATGATAGATAAATTTCTCAATAAGAAATATAATTTATAATACCTAATATTTTTTGTCATGCAACAGTGTGTAATGATGGCATTGTATGCACAAATGATTCTTTATAAAAAAATTAAATGTTAATAAAACTTACAGCAAATCTTGTCAACAGAATCATAATCTTCAAATTCCACAAAACCAAAACCACGTTTCTTGCCAGAATCTTTATCAGTGACAATAGTAGCTGATAGAATGTTTCCAAAGCCTTTGAAGCATTCTTTTAAGTCTTCTTCCTCTACATCTTCCTTCAACCCTCCCACAAACAATTTTTTCACTGTTGCACCTGACTCAGGTCTTCCAATTTCCTGTCTGGGGACAGCCCTTTTGGGTTCTACAACCCTACCATCAACCCTATGGGGTCTGGCATTTTGTGCATCATCCACCATGTAGGCTTTGGAGTAGGTGATAAATCCAAATCCACGGGATCTTTTGGTATTTGGATCTTTCATGACAACAACATCCACAATCTCACCCCATGCTTCAAAATGCTTTTTTAAAGACTCGTCAGTGGTTCTGAAATCCAAGCCTCCAATGAAAAGCTTGCGGAACTGTTCAGGTTCCTGCCTTTCACCCTAGAATCAAAAGGTTACATACATAAATAGCAAATAACCTGAAAAAACAATAACTTTTATATAAAAAAATATTCCAAATGGAGGTTTTTAAAAATCTGCAATTTTGATATATCGTCACCCTAATATAACAAGGTTGTATGTTAAAAAAAACGAAAAATTTAAGTCTATGTTTCTACAGGATTATAAGTGGCATACGCTTCACATACCACTTAAAAATAATTCTATAGAATGTATATTCTATGTATACATGAGTTATTTTCAAGTTGTATGTCAAGGGTGGATTACATAAAACCTTGTAGAAGCATAAACTCAAATTTTTCGGTTTTTTAACATACAACCTTGTTATATTAGGGTGACGATATGTTTGTTATAATAAATCATTTAAAATCGTAAATATTAGAGTGAAGAAAGGTTCTTCAAGAAACGTTATAATTTTTTTTAAACAATACCTAATATGAATGAAATAATTAAATGAAATGTATTACTTTAAAAACGGCTTTTTATTATGTGTGTTATAATGTATTTCATTATCAAATTTCTACTGTAATGTTCTACCTACAGAATAAATCTTTATTTCATGTGAATATTATTGTTATTATTACTAAAACCCTATAACTATTCTGCCCTGCTAAAGCTAAACGCATGTAGGCATCATTTTAAATTAAATTTTTTAAACAAAAATTGTTAATATTGTAGATACGGGCTTTTAGCATAGCAGGGTATTTATTTGCAACTAATGTTAATTCTAGAAGAGTGTTTAAACCCTTTATTATAAAATAAAGTTTATTTATTCGCCTAAAATGCATGACGCGTCACAAGCGTCGGTCAGCCATTTTGCGGTAAAATTTCTAGAATTCAATTTACCTTATCTTCGGTACCATCACGCGTCATTTTGTCTGATTTTCAAACAAGGGACAGTTTCTATATCACTATAAACGCTTTTCCAACACTGGTTTGTCGTATCTTCAAGAAAATTACTTTAAATGCTAAGCCGACCTACAGCTTCCCATCAAAACACGTAAACAAATGATGAAAGTTGATTGGTCTGCTATCGATTTTATTTCTGCGCATGTGCAATGATATTAAACCATAGACATATCACATCGTAGACAACTTTTGCAAAATTAAGTGACGTTTACACCATAGACAAAAGAATGGTTTACACCAACAAAAGTATCAGGGGCGGACCGTTGCCTTTTGGGGCCCTGGGCTAAAGCTCTTTGGGGGCCTATCAATAATTATATATAACAAATCAACTAATTCTTCGTCAAAAATAAAAAAAAACAAGAAAAAAATAACACTTATTCTTAATAAAATAAATGAATAACAAATAAAATAAATAATATAAATAAAACATTCTAGTATTTATAAAAGGTGACCCGATAAGACAATGCAAGGCCACATACATATTTCTTGGTTAAAAATAATTCTACTCAACCCAACTTATGGTGGATTTATGCAGCACAAATTAACATTAAGATTAACATTAACATTAATTTAAAATTAATAGGAGTGTATTTATGCAGCAAAATTAGTAGCAAATTAAGCATGCGTATAAGTTAAAGTAATTTTGACATCTGACATTTTTATTTTGTTTGAATTTTGTTTTAATCCCGTTTTAGCATCTGTTAAGTAGGTAAAATAAATGAAAACTATAAACTCCACGTCAAACAATAAACCAAAGAACACAATCATTGAATAAAAAATCAATCATTTAGCAGTAAGTTTCATTTTATTTTCGGGTATGTTGGCATTACTGACACGGTTTATTTAAAAATTGCGCCGCAAACCTGCGCAGGAGGAATAGAAATTAACATAATCATAAAGAAGATAAAAGTTGGCCATCTCTTAATGTTAACTTAATGCTAAAGTTAATGTTAATGTGTTGCATAAAAGCTTCCAATGGATTACGTTAATTTAACTTCTTAATGTTAATGTTAATCTTAATTTGTGCTGCATAAATCCAGCATTACATTAAAAAAATTGTTTTGTTAATTAGCTTAAGCTGCTAGCGGCCTTTAAATTATGTAAAAAGAATATTTTATACTGCAGTATATTTATTATTATACTGATCTTTTTTCTATTAAATTTAATAGCCCCATGAGCCTGTTAAAATATCACCCATTAATATTATTGGTTGCATACTTGCAACATTTTTTGTTTATAATTTTATTTTCTATAAAATAATCAATTAAAAAATATACCTAATAGGTATATATTATTTTGTTGATGTTTTATTTATGATTTATGAATATGTTTTGAATAAAATTGATATTTTCTTGAAATTAATTAGTAGGTATTTTAATCAGAAATAATAATTTGTAAAATCAGTAACCGGAAAACTAAGTTTTAAAAATTATAAAATTTCACAATTTTTTGAAAACTAAAATGATTTACCAAAGTTCTATAACGTTTTGTTATACCTAAGTCTAATAGTTTTAGCTTAAAAGTAAGAAAAACTTGAAATTTACTATAAATGTAATTTTAAGCTTGAATGTGTAAAAAAATTATTTTTGAAATATTAATCCGTTAAAAAAATATATACATAATTCCATTTTTTTTTCGTGCTATTTCGCTTGTAAGCTTCGCTCGTGCCTTATAAAACTAGTTACTAAAATGGCATTAATAAAACAAGGACTAGGAATATTATCGATAAATTCAGGAATATTTATATTCTGAGAATCCTGCCTCTCCTGGGCCGCAAAGTCGGATATTTTTCACACTCTTTCATAAGCGATTCTCGCTCCACCAGACCGAACTTGCCAACAAAGCAAACGAAAAATTATAGAAGTGTATAGGATGACTCCGCGTTTGAATATCAAATCTTAAAGTTTTATCATAACTGTATTGAATCGTGCTTTGTTTTTATATTTTTCGGCTCTATACCTATGCACGACTATATTTAAAGTCAAACTCAATGGTGTCTTACAAGATACATTATTTTGATTTTCTATATTCAACAGAGAGGTAGAAACTCGACCCTGTCAAATGGTGCAGTCATTTATGTCTCTAGAAATTATTGAAAAAGGGTTCAGTCCAATGGTGCAGCAACTTCGGATTCCTATTCTCCTCAGAGACATAGAAACTCAAGCTTTTCGAATTTTACTGGCAATGATTTTCGTTAATGTCCCCGAGAATTATACAAAAACAGCGCAATGCAATATCGCAACGGTTTCGACTTCTCTTTACTCTACCAAGTTATAGAAACTGGAGTCTCTCTAATACTGTTCTAGTCAATATTTCTGAGAGTATAAAAAGAGGGTGTAATATTGCAAGAAGTTTTGATCTTTTGATGGATGCAAGTAGTTTGAATTTTCTCCTTTCTGCATATGATTTTGTTGAAAATAGTTCCTTTCTTTGGTTCTTTTGTCTGATGATATGATGTTAAGTATATTTATGTATTATCTTCTTCTTCTTTTTTATTTATTGGCCTTGGTCTGTGTAAACCATATCAGCCAGTGGTCTGGATTCTTAGGCGTTATCCGGGGTAGTATGTTGGCTGTTAACGTGCTGGTGAAAAGGAATTTGGGTATTAGGTTTTATATGTAAGGCGTAGCCATGCAAAGCGGGTAGGTCAGAGCGAATGAGAGCAGGGGGTTTTACAGCCTGGTGTTAGTTGAATCTAGGAAGGCGAGTACTGCAACTATAACTTCGTGCGTGGGGTTATTTAAGATGTTTGTCAGGTTTATGGGATTGATGGAGATTCTACTTAATTTTCTATATAGGTTGTTGATGTGGTCTGTCTGTGTTGTACATTCTAGAAATATGTGGTGGAGGTCTTGTTCGGTGGCTCCGCAGTCGACTGCGTGATCACACGAAGGGCTGGTTTCTAAGCCAATTCTATGCAGATGGGATTTTGTGAGACAGTGACCACTTCTTAGTCTCAGGAAGGTAGTGATGTGTCTTCTATCAAGAGAGTTGATTGAGATCCAAGGCTTTTGAAGTTCTGGTGTATGTGTGGAGTAGAATCTGCCTGATTGCGTTAGGTTTTCCTTAAATGTGTTTTTCCATCTCCCCTACAAACAATGACGACATCGTCTTTTATATCGTCTTTCGTATCGTTATTTTTTTTAAACTATTTCACACTAAATTCACATCGCAGCATCTTTTTTGGTCGTAATTGTGCATTGCATTAATACATAATTATGATTTTTAATTATATTTAATCAAAACATAGCTAAAAAGAACTGCCCTAAGTTTACAACTCGTAGGACGACAGTCTTGTCGATAGAGAAACCTATATCGTTGACGAGATAAGTCCCGATATCGACAAAACAGTCGTCAAAACGACAAACATAACGATATCGTCTTTGACATCGTTTTTCGTACCGATATTTTTTTAAACTATTTTATACTAAATTCAAGTCGCAGCATGTTCCTTGGTCCTAATTTTGCAGTGCATTATGATTTTTATTTATATTTTTATATTTAATAAAAACAAAGCTCTAAAATAGCTTCCCAAATTTGACGTTCTTTCTATATCGACAAAAGGGTCGTCATGACGACAAACAATGACGATATGGTCTTTGACATCGTACGATATCGTCTTGCGTATCGATATTTTGTTTTAACTATATATATATATATATATATATATATATAGGTATACCTCTAGGTCCCCAACCCTATTCCTTTACTCAACGGTTTTACACTAAATTTATGTCGCTTATAGTGCAACGCTGTCATTGCATTGCAAATAAATACTGATATTAAATATAGAAAATAGTAAGAAGACAAACTCATAGAAAAAAGTATTATTTTATTATATATTTTTTGTAGCTGGTGTTGTAGGAAATAAATTTAAATATACCGCCGACGTGATGTCGGTAATGTAGGTATCATTAACAGATAGTAATTAATAACATGGCGAAGCTGAGTTATTGTGGCTTGGGCTGGTCTATTTGTGTCTGTTTAGAGCTGTGTTTATCTAATCTATGGATGTGGAGCTGTATTTAATACTTCTAAATTAAAACGTAAGTAGACAGATTGTTTTATTATACCTAGTTCGTATTTGTTCGTATTGTATACCTAGTAGGTATTACCTACCTAAATGATGGACAGGAATTCAACCTAAATGAAGAAGTGGAAACCAACCTAAATGAAGAACAGGAAACCAACATAAATGAAGGACAGGAAACCAACCTAAATGAAGGACAGGAAACCAACCTAAGTGAAGGACAGGAAGCCTTCCTAAATGAAGAACAGGAAACCAACCTAAATAAAGGACAGGAAACCGACCTAAATAACCCTGTAACTATATATGATATTTCAGACTCTTTAACTTTAAATGATAATGATAGTGGCAATTGCAGAACTTTTTACATAATTTAAATATTAATATTTGAAAAATGTTAAAACTTCTATACAATTTAAATTTAATCACTGATTTTAGAAACACCTAAAGTCAATTTACTCGAGATATTCTTCAAAAAAATAATTATTTTTATATAGACTTTAAAATCATTCATTTCTTTACTAGGGTGCTAATTTCACAAATAAATGATTGGTAAGTTTATATAAAAATAATTAAGCAATTTAATTAGTTTTCTTCATTTGTGACCTAGGGTCTTTCCATAAAGTATAGGTGGCCAGTTATTTAGCAGTAATTAAAAGAATCAGTTAAATGTTGAATTTATTTGACCCATTATACCACCTGTAAACAGGAAGTTTAAGTGGGTCAAGTTTACTTATCATCAGAAAGGAATCAGTAGCGGGGTCAAAATACTTCAATAATTTTTATATTTTTTTTATTCAAAAATATTAGCTCTAATGCAAAAGTAATAGGGGAATAACTTGCTTACTTAAGAGTGTACTATCACAACTTATTTGGTGACACTGTATTTTGTTTTAAAAGTTTATTTTATTTTTTAAGTTTATTTTAAAAATGTTATAAATTTATTATTGTAATAACAATTCCTTGCCATTGTGGTTTTTGTTTGTAAATGTCATAAATAAAAAAAGGCTTTTTTAATTGCATATTTTTTATTTAAAATTTTATCACCTCTAGATTTGTTCGCGATATCGTATGTAGATTCGTTTACGATATCGCGTGTCGATTCGTTTACGATATCGCGTTTCGATTCGTTTACGATATCGGCGGACATCGTTTAACGATATCGCGTTTCGACTCGTTCGCGATATCGACAAGCATATCGGCATCGACGTTAGTTGGCGATATCGCGTTTTGACTCGTTCACGATATCGAAATACATATCGACATCAACGTCATTTGACGATATCGTGACGATAAGAATGTAGAATCTAAAAGTGTCGGATTACGAGTCCTCGGAATTCTTATCGTTTTTTGTATCGTTATTGTTTGTAGGGTCTTGTGTATGTCGTGTTTTATAAGTTTTATGAGATCTTCATAGGGTGATCTTGTTTCTGTTAGGTCTTCCAACTTGCATCCTTTGCTGGCTAGGTTGTCCGCTATTTCGTTGCCGGGGATGTTCGTGTGGCTGGGGACCCAGCAGAATTCTACTTTGGCTCCCCGTACTTCTAGATTGTGTAAGGTGGTCTTAGCTTCAAATGTGAGAGAGTCTTTTTATGCGGTGTTGTTGGTGTTACATATTTTTTTAAGTGCTGCCTGGGAGTCTGAGAGGATAATGAAGTGTCTTCTTCCGGATTGAATATGGCTGTTTGTAGCGTGTAACAGAGCTTGAGCAATTGCGAAGCATTCTGCTGTCGCTATGGAGGCATGGTTTGGGAGTCTGACCGTAACAACTCAGGTATGTAAAGCACAGAGGATATGATGTTAAGTATATTTATGTATTACACCGCCCAACAGCATGTCTGTTGCATGGAATATTTTATATGATTCTGTGCAAATTTTTGACGCTGATTTTAAATATGTTATTAGTTTTTCTGTATCAGCTCTAGTTTTTCAATTATAAGGAAGGGTGTTTTTCGAGAAAAAGATGCATTTACCGTACAAAAATATTTAATTATAAAAAAACTATACACTCTGGAATTTTCTTTTATATGATTTTCTACTGTTTATGAATGATGTTATGATGTTATGTGTTTCCAATGGAAAACCAAAACATTCCAAATACGCTTGTTTCACAAAGTCTGACACACTCAAACGAAATTTTTTAAAAACATATTCACCACAAATGTTACAAAAACAATTTGGATCGTTAATGCAGAGCCTTCTTGATAAAGACATGATGGAAATTACAAATATTTATGTAAAACTCGTATGTAATAGATAGTTTATGTAAACAGACTTAATATGAAGGCAGTAGCTGTACCTGAAAAAATCGAACTGCTACAAAAAAACTGACGGTCGATTTGAAATCAGTGACCTTGAATTAGTAAACAACCCTTAAATACTTCATGCAACAGGAAAAAACTTTGATTTTGTTGTGTTGTGTTATATAAAGTACCTATATTTGTATTAAAAATTTCAGAGGTTATGTTGAAAAAATGATCGATATGCTATTAAACTTTAATAATTTAGTAATTAGGTCTGTTGGTAGACCCTGCACTATCTCCACTGGTATATGTTAGTTTTGTAATATTTAAATCTGGTTGATGAAAAAGTACACACCAGTGCAGGTTATTGTAGCATCTACGAACAAATGAATTAATGGCCCATTGGCAGTTGTTCCTTTAGGAAAAATATTCAACACAGCTTAATTAATTAATAAAATGAAAAAAATCACAATCATGTCGTATATAGTTTTTTTAAGCATAAAATAATTTTTATATTAATACTAGTTCAATAGTGAAATTACGACCTCTATACTGTGGAGAGTATTGAAACGCTCGACTGACGAATACAAGTCGATACCGTAGGGAGATTTAGAAAACCATATTCAAACGTGTCGTCATCCTATACACCTCTATAATTTTCCATTTGCTGTGAAGGTAATTACATTTTGTTTATTAATGATAAAATTTTAAATAAAAATACAAGAAAACATTTGAAGCTTTTTATTATTAATTATGTATAAAAACTACACAATTTATTGGTTTATTAATTCAATTTGGGCTTGTGTAACATTCTTCATACCATCTTGAATGCTACCAATGTTTGCTTTCCAGGAATGCAGTAAATCGCGCAGTTGTTGCCATTGAGCTCTGCCAAAGGTCCTGTGCATTGTGCTTGAAACAAATACTTTGCGAGAGGCCTGATCCATACGAGCCCTCACCAATTTCGTTTTTAATACTTCAATGATGAATGATTCAACCTCTTCGGCTTTTATTTGCAATTCCTTCTCAATCACATCAAACTCGATTTCTGGGTTGGTTTCAGCAAGTTGCATAAAAGAAAGCAATCTCATTTTTTTCATGTTTTGTTCATGATTTAAATTTTGCTTTTGAATAAAATCTTTGTGTTCAGCATAGAATTTAAGATAAGCTGCAAGGTTATCATTCACAAAGATGTTTAGCAAATCGTGAATAAGTTCACCCTCCAAGAATTTGACTGGCTTTAATGAAAAAAGTGGGTCCAATAGGAAAGTATTTGGATCAGCCAAAGCAGTTGCTATGCAGTTGATCGCATCTTCTCTAGCTTGTGCAGCGTTTTTGTCGGTGTATGTACCCAAAAGCTCAATCATTACTTTGGCAGCATGCTCACTAAAATAATAAAATACTTATCACCATTTGCCAAAGTATAAGCCATGGAGACTACAAAAGGAGTACAAATAATTTCCCAAAATAAGAGGCCGCTGGTGTTGTTTGGTTTATAGCAAAATAGCAGACGTCAGTACAAAATGGAAATCTGCGCCGCTGGTGGTAAAAAAAGAACACGTAATTTGTGCGATTTAGTAGGCAGGTTGGGTTGGGTCCCCTATTGAGTTTGTACTCCTAGTGTAGGCCTCACAGTTTTGTATTTCAGCTGGTACAGTAGCTTAAAATTCATCAAAAAAAAAAGGATAATAAACATAACCTATAGAATTATATAATTGTTAAAAGTTTTCATTTTTTAGACTAGATCTAGTGATCACAAAACATAAAGTAGCAATGTTCTAGTGCACCGTGTTCTAGTGATTACAATTACCAGAACATCAGTGGATTATGTTCTGTGATCACTATATATATATTTCCACAGAAATGTTAATCATAGTAACAAAGTGCTGCTTGATTAAAGGCGTCAAAAATAATTAGAATATAAATAAAGAAAATTGTAATTATTACTTTACATGGACTAAATAATGGTAAATCTAAGACCAAAATATAAATTAGGGTAAATATTAATTAAAAATATAAATATAACAAAAAAACACAAAAATATTTTCTCTTCATTAACAGGTTAACAAGTAAGGTATACCCAAAAGGCCCCTTGGCAATTAAAAATTGATAAAAAGTTAATTTTAAAAATTCCACATTAAAATTTTTTACGCGCCATAATGTGGTATAATTTTTTCCCATAATTTTTATTAGTTTCAGAGATAAAAAATAAAAACGAAGAAATTTGAAATTAAGAAAATATATATTAAACTCGCGATAACGATGTATTTGGAATGCCGTTTTATCATGTAGTCGACCAGTTTCAAAGTATGAAATATGTATTTCAATGTTTCAATTAAACTAAATAATGTTTCAAATAAAGTTTATTTATCATTTTTTCGCGTAAATACTATGAATACCATGAAATACTTTGGTTAATAAAATAAACATAACCTTGGTTAATGATATTTCGCGTTTGGAGTGAGTTCCAAAATCTTAAATATATTTCAGTTATTATACATGAGACCAACATCAAACTTATAGGAGATTATAATGACATTATAAAGACAAGTTCTGCGCAAACAGAATTTAAATTGAAGCTTGCAAAATAAGTTCGTTTTTCAGCGTGCCTCACCAAACTCCTGCCACCTCTAATTATTTAAATTAAAGTAGTGCATTCCTAATTTACTAAAGTTTATTTACAAATTTCAAAATTTATTTTAAAATTCCAAGACTTACAGGTTTTATACCATTTTTAATTTTTTTAAATTTTAGTTAAAAGAATAATCCCTGTTAAAGTCTCAGGTTAGGGAGACCTAAATAAAAAAAATGTTTTTCTACTCCTATAGTATATTATCGACATTATTTGGGGTTTTCCTTATAATGGTAACCATTATAACCTATAACCTAACCTAACAGGAATAATTAACTCATTATTCAGTAAGTAAGGCATCAGTGATTGGTTGATTTTAATATGTGATTTGAACAAATAAGGTTTTAAATTGGAAAAAGTGAGAAAGGAACTTTCTACAAATGTAAGATATTTTAGTATATACGACGGGACACCATAACGATAGTGGCGGCTGGTGGATTTTGGGCACACCCATATCTCAGTTATTAGACATGGAACCCACATCAAATTTATATGAGTTTATAATGACATTATATAGACAAGTTCTGCGCAAGCAGAATTTAAATTAAAGTTTGCGAAAAAAAGTTAGTTTTTAAGTGTGCCCCCAGCCTCCTGCCCCCAAAATTAATACAATTCAAATTAAATTGGTAGAATATTAAATTCACTGAAGTTTATCAACAAATTTCAAATTTTATTAAAAAATTTCAAGAATTACAGGTTTTATACCATTTTAAATTTTTATTATTTCTTTTACTAAATTAAAAAAAAAATAGAAATGTATAAAATCTGTAATACTTGATTTTTTTTAATTAAATTTAAAAATTGTCGATAAACTTCAGTGAATTAAATATTGTACAACTTTAATTTGAATTATCTTAATTTGGGGGGGCAGGAGGCTGGGGGCACACTTAAAAACTAACTTTTTTTCGCAAACTTTAATTTGAATTCTGCTTGCGGAGAACTTGTCTATATAATGTCATTATAAACTCATATAAATGTGGGTCCCATTTCTAATAACTGAGATATGGGTGTGCCCAAAATCCACCAGCCGCCACTGAATGATACGACTGACGGCTCAAGACGCACACCATAATCCTCATATAATAATATACTATTATTATGTATATTATATAATACTTTTCTAAAATAAGTTATTATACAAAGGTGAGGCTATCTATCACCTACAGTGTTTAATTTTGATTAGCAACAATTCACTATTAATTTCAAAATAGAGCGATTTAAAAAAAGTATAGTTTGTAATACTCGAAAAGCTCTATCTTTTAAAGAAAAAAATATTGTCATGTCATTTCCATGGCCCACTATGATTAATAAAAGGTTTATTGGGAAATTTTTAAATTTACAAACAGATAGCGTTTCTGAATTTGGCATACCCCAAAAACCCCTAAAACGATAATTTTGTGATAAAAGGTCAAATTTGGAAAAAAATCATTTTTTTAAACACTGTATAAATTCAAGCAAAGATTTTGCCTGTCATTTCTTTAGGTATTACACAAACTACACATACGCGTAGTTTTGTTACTCTAACTTATACACTCTGTTCACGAATTAAGTTCAAAAATTATAAAAAATAATGGTACTTTACATAGAAATATTAATTTAATTAGAGGCATAATATTAATAAATAAACAAACTATACACAAATGTGTACAGCTACTTAAAGGATTATTTTTAAATGGTTAATTCATTAATATTTTGGCTCCAATTAGATTAGTTTGCTGTATTTGAATACAATTTTATTATATAAATTTTGACTTCAATTTGTAAACACTTTGTATAAGCTAGAGTAACAAAACTAGGCAAATGTGTAGTTTGTGTAATACGTAAAGAAATGACAGAATGTTTCTATTTATTTAAAAAAATTAAAAAGTGCCTAATAATTTTTGTCGTTTTAGAGGCAAATAACATTACAATGTATTTTTCTTCTAAAGCTTTTTGAGTACTACGAACTAAAAAAATTTTTTTAATCTATTTTTTTTTAATAAATACAGAATTGTCGCCAATCAAAATGACTCAAAGGATTTTGTTTAATTTTATGTGAAAAGCAGTCCAAGTCACCAGTTCAAACCTACATTAAATTTATAGTAGTAGTAAATATATTTATTGGAAAAACCAAAAGGCTATCGACCGAAGTCTTTCTGCCTATATAAATACAATTTTATTTTACAAAATATTTGATATAGTTATAAACTAGGTATATAAACTTAATTATATTAAATTTATATTACTTACAACATCCTAAAATTTATAGACCAATACAAAAATTAAAAAATCACAAAATTTAATTTAATTTTAAAAAATTAACAAGTTTATCATACTTTAAATTAATTAATTAAACAAGTAAATTAATTATAGGAAATTTAAAAAAATGTGTATAAAAATGATTACCAGTGTATCTCATGTTTCAGATGTTATTTACCTGACAGGAAAAGCTTATTAATTGCCTTACACACATGAGCTTCTTTCTCCCGATCTATAATGTACCTATTATTTTTATTTTTATTATGCAAAAAACTTGGAACAATAAAAAAAATTACCAATGTGACTTTTTATTGAGATAGTTTTACAAACCTTTGATTACTTTCCACCAAAACTTCATGTAGTAAACGGTATAATTTTTGTAATTGCTCACTGGAAGGAACACACAGTGAAAATTGTTGTTTTAGATGTTCAACATCTTGAAAAACCGATCTAACTTGGTCTGTTTGTTTTGCAATCATAATCAAATGGTAGTAAACATGATACCTCATTGGTGATCTTTCATCCAAAGATTGAAACAATAACCACAAACTAAAATTTTAACTAATTAATTATTAATAATTAAATTGAGAATATAAAACTTACGCTTTCAAACACACATTGCCCAACTTCTGGGAATGGGCTTTTGTTAACTTCTCGCAAAAAGCCAAGATAATGTTTTCGGATCTTTCCAATGGGATGGAAACCATGATAGATACAATATCGTTTAAAACCATTTCAACTTCAGAATCTTGTCCTTCCTTAAAACAGGCTTCGCACACACCAATAATTTTGTGCAAATCATCTTCAATCCCTTTTGGTGATTTTTCATCAGTAATCTCGGCACCTAAACTTTTAAGATACACTCTCAACTCTTGCGCCTGAAAAAATTATAACCTCAATATTTAGCATCATATGGTTTTGGAGATATACTGGATAAGGAAATTAAATTTCTAAATAAATAAATGATTACCTGGTCCTCCAGACTAATGTCTATAAAAACTGGTAAAACGTGCATTTTAAACACTAATAATTGTGTTTTTACGAAATACTTTCTGTCTATACAACACCACCCTAGAAACACCACACCAGCGGCGAAAAGAATGTGGAATTTGACAGACACTTTTTGACAGCTGTCAGCGATTGACATAACCTCAATCGAAGAACACCAACCCCAAAGAATTTATTTATTTTTGTAATAGTAACATCCTTAAATAATAAGTAAGTATACATTACACACCATTAAAGTAATTTTAAATTATTTTTTATTTTAAAACTGAAAAGATAAGCATTAAAAATTAGCACCATGTGTAATAAAAACCGCATACTTGGGTTACTTTGAAATAAAATCAGCGTTAATCAGCAATAAAAAATACACGTATTGGTACCTACTTGTTTAACATCACAAATTGTATAAATCTTTTGTTATAGTACAGGAAAATGCAGAAAAGGGTTCAACCTGATTGGTCTCCACCAAATAAAACCAATGAACCACTATTAAAAGTCTTTAATAGCCTAACAAGGAAAAAAGAACCATTTGTTCCTTTATCGGGAAAGAAAATTACGTGGTATAGTTGTGGACCAACCGTTTACGATACTTCACATATGGGACATGCAAGGTAATATTTATCTTTTGTTATTATATTAATTATAATTAGTACTTAATACATTTTAGGTCATATATTACTTTTGATATACTAAGAAGAGTTTTAACTGATTATTTTGGTTATGATGTATTTTATGTAATGAATATAACTGATATTGATGATAAAATTATTAAAAGAGCTCGGCAGAATTACTTATTTGAAAAATATTCTTCTGAAAACAAGTCATTGGAGTTAATTTTGGAAGACTCAAAGCAGGTTTGTGATATTTTTTTATTTTTAATAAAGACCCTTTGATTAGGAAAATCTAGGAGCAATTTAAAAAAATGTAAAAAGTTCCTATTAACATTTATTTTTGAGGTACTGGGCTCAAAATTTGAATATTGGCAATTAGTTTTAAAGATAAATATTCAGGGTGTCTCAGATTTTATTACAGTTAAAATTAGAAGAAAAGTTTTTATGAAAAGTTTTTGTATGCTATAAACCTTTGTTTTCAAGATACAATTTGAGTTAATAAAGAAAGGTATGGTCACGTCATTTCTTTTTTATTAGTTTAAGCCACAATTGTGGTTTATGCAATTAAAAATACAACTCTTTGACTTCTGCATTTGTTCTCTAAACTGCTTAATTTTTATACCCAAATTTTATTTTTAAATATCTAGTTGCGATGCCTTAGCGCCGCCTTTCGATTAACTTATTTGAATTTAATTATATTAAATGAAGCCCTAGGGCTTTGACCATTACTATAAACCCAAACAGCTTTATTACATTTGGTCAAGAAGTTTTTGATATTTTTGAAAAAAAATAAATATTTACTTTACCACCCTTTATCTCGAAAACGAAGCTTTAAAACATACAACTTTTCTTCTTATTTTTAGGTTCTATCAAACTAAATTTTCCCCATTAAAATCTGAGACACCCTGTAAATTTTATAAAATGTGTAAATAAGTCTAGTTTCTTGATAACTAATTAATATCAATTCTGTGGCTTGGTCAATTTTGTAAACCCATTATTAAACCCCTAAAACCTAAATGTTATCAAACATATATTCCAAATTTCAACTACCAATACCAAAAAATTAATTAATCACAATTGTTTAAAAAATACAGTTTAAATTGGAATTAACTTAGACTGTGTTTTTTCACTTAGGTCCTTTTTTAACCAAGCCACAGAATTATAATATTACTTATCACATATTTTTTTATAGGTACTAGAAAAATTGTCAGATACTACAAAAAAAACCACAGATCCTGATAAAAAACAGATGTATGAAAAACTGTTGATTAAGTAAGTAAAGTTTATACATTGCGTCTTTTTGATAATTTAACATAGTATTTTTTAGACTGACTAGTTCAATTGATGAACTGGAGAAAGCAGTTAAGGGTGGAGACAATAATTTAATAGAAAAAGAAAAACTTAACTATATTAACAACAGCAAAGACCCCTTATCAGACTGGCTGGACTCCAAATTTGGCGCTACAGTAACTGACAATGCAATTTTTACTATATTGCCAAAGTTCTTTGAAAATGATTTCCATAAAGACATGGACGCATTAAATGTATATAATTTCTGATATTTTTGATATAACTAATAATAAAATGTTTTAATTTAATATTTTTAGGTTCTCAGGCCACATGTTCTTACTAGAGTAAGTGAATACATACCAGAAATTGTAACATACATAGAAAAAATCGTAGCAAATGGTTTTGGTTATGAAGCAAATGAATCAGTTTATTTTGATGTGGCTGCTTTTGATAAAAGTAAAAAACATCATTATGCTAAATTGGTTCCTGAAGCCTATGGTGATACTAATAGTTTGCAGGAAGGAGAAGGTAATAATGAATTACATTAAATGTAAATGGTTAAAAGTTTATATTTGTTTTACATATTTATAATTAAAAAAGTGTGCTAAAATGGGGATAAATGAAAAATATAATGATAGAAACACAGATTTTAGATATGTTTAGCATTAAATTTTTTTAAATTCAAAATAAAAATAAAACTTTTTGTAAAAAAAATTAAATTATCAGTTGGTTATTTATGCCCCACTGACAGAGCTGCAACAAGTCAGTTTTAAAAAGACTTAAATCTTAAGTCTTAAGTCAATTCTAAAATCAAAATGATTTAAATCTTAAGTCAATTCTAAGATAAAGTTCAAATGATTTAAGTATTAAGTCTTTGAATTAAATCATTTTCTTTCAAGTCAAGTCATTTTCGCAAATTCTTAAATCAATATAAAGTGATTTAAGTCATCTTATGACTTAATTCCTTTAGTAAGTCGTTTTTATGACTTAAGTCTATATTTTTTATTTAAATCGTGATCTAAGAATTAAGTCAATAAAATGACTTGAATCAAAAATTTTGATTTAAATCAAAATAATTACCCTTAAGTCAATACAACGATTTTTTAAATGTTAATAATAATTTTATGGTATTAATGATACTGAAATTATTAATCTATTGTAGATACAGATGATAATAAACCACTGTGTTAAGAATTTAAAACGATTTATTTTCAGAACACTTACAAAAAAAATAAAAACTTAAAACACATTTTTTGAGTATATAGTAGACAATCAAAATAAAAACTTAAACCACCTTTTTTAGTAGAGTACATACAGGGAGGCTACTTTTTTATATACATAAATGGGTAACTTCTAAAGGGTAAAAGATTCAAACTCTGTTAAAATAGATAAAAGTTTAAGCATTTTTCTAAAATCGCTGGATTTCAAAAACTGATAACTTGTTGTTTTGTTAACTTTTGTTAGCTGGTTCAACATCCATCTAGAAAAAAAATATATAGTAATGATGGAAGGTTCCAAACTCGATTCAATTAATTATTTATTTAAACAAACCGAAACACCCTGTATGATATAAACACGTCTTTATAATATTTATTCGTCCTTACCTGTTAATCGTTTGTTTTCACTTTGCACTAATAATCAAAAATTAGACCTACGCACGCATAACAAGACGAATGTTGGCAAACAAAATAAAATTATAAATTCCAATTTTTTTTCATTTATTTTAGACAGGACATTTTTTAATGTAGCCGTCAAACGGTTCCAAAAAGCTAACTTTACCGCGGCGGTTTTTTTATTCACTAGCGGTAGCAATTGTAGGTAGGAAATTAAAGTAGTTTTTGATCTGCTGTCGCGTGAACCCCTGGCAGTTCAAAAGAAAATGCCGCTGTTAAAAACTTATAAAAAAATATATGAAAAATCTGACTTAAATATTTTCTAAAAAGACTTAAATCTTTTTAAATTACTTAAATAATTTACCGACTTTTATAAAGACTTAAATCTTTTTTTGACTTAAATCGTTTCTATATTACTTAAATCGTATATACTGATTTAAGCCTTTTATTAATGACTTAAGTTTTTTCTATTTTGAAAAAAATATTTAAGTCACAAATCATTTTAAAAATTACTTAAATTTTAAGTCTTAAGTCAGTTTTAGAGAAATGACTTATTACCAAATGACTTAAGTCATTAAAACGATTTAAATATAAAAAACGATTTAAGTTTTCTGAGAGCTTGCAGCTCTGCCCACTGAATATATTGAATATTTTGATATCTGATATACCGTATGTCCCCAATTCGACTTCATAAGAGGAAAAACTTTTTTATTTTTCATTTTTCGAGATAAATGCATTCTTTATAAAAGTTTTTGCTTGTTCTAAAATGGCTAATTCAGTTTATTCTTTTACCAATTTCCCCTCAGTTTCAAAGATGTATCGAAAAATATAAAAATATGTTTAAAATATAAAAATATGTTTAAAGTTCAAAAAATTATAATGCGTTTCTATGGTAACTTCAACGCGTTTCCATTATTACTTTTTCCCGCTACCATTGGCGACGCTACAGTGTGATTTATTTTAAATGTAAACGTCAGATTTAAATAATTAAATGCCAGAATTAAATAATTGCGCTACAGTGTGATTAACTTTAAATGTAAACGTCAGATTTAAATAATAAGAATGTCAGAATTAAATATTTGACAAGTTTTTTTATTTTTTAAAAATATAGTAAAAAATTTAAATTGGCTTCACTCGTCAAAAAGTATAGTGGAGTTGCAGTTACTCCCTCGATAAATTTCTTCACTCGCCTGTTGGCTCGCACGGAAACTATAATCTATCGAAAATAATTTCTAAGATTAGTTGTAATGACCGTCAATAAGGGCGACTCAGACAAGTCCAAAAGACTACGATTGTTATTTTCACTTGATACTGTAGTAAATAAACACTGAAATGGTCAGTGATTAATATTTTAATGAATTTATTATTTAAATAAGCAACAAGAACAACTCATTCAATCCATTCTCCGCCCTTTTCTACACACATTTCTGCTCGTTTGCGCAGTTCCCCGTAACTATTCCGAATCTCTTCAATTGTTATGGATTCTACAGCGTCTCTTATTTTTTGCTTTAAATTGTCTACATTTGGAGGTAGGTCGTTGGCATAAACAATTTGCTTCAATCGACCCCATAAATAAAAGTCTGCGATTGTTAAGTCGGGACTTCTGGCAGGCCATACAACTGGACCGTTCCGTCCAATCCAATTCTGCCCAAATTTATTATTTAACCACTGCACAACTATTTGAGCGAAATGAGCCGGACAACCATCCTGTTGAAAATAACTAAGCTAAGGAGATAATCAAGGGGTAGCTCGTCAAGCTTATCTTCCAAAAAGTTTTGAAGCATTGCCAAATACGTTTGCTGATTAACCGTATTGTCGAAAAAATACGGTCCTATGATGCCATGATATGAAATTGCGCACCACACATTAGCTTTGGCCAAGTATTGTCGACCACTGGGAATGCGAAAATTCGGGTTGTGATCACTCCAATACCTAACATGCTGAGACGAAACAGTGCCGTTAGTAGAAAATGTAGCCTCGTCGGAGAAAATAATGTTTCGGTGGAAGTATTGATTATCCATGATATTAGCCCCTAACCACAAGCAAAAATCTAAACGCCTAGCTGAATCTCCAGGTTCCAATACATGGTTGAATATCGGCTTGTAGGGATGAAACTTAATTTCTTTTAAAATTCTCTGCAAATGGGATTTGCTGATTCCCAGTTGGAGTGATCTCCTTCTCAAAGATAGTTTGGGATTATTTTGTACTGAATCCATAACAAGAATAGTTGCAGCGTCATTTTCATCGTGAACGATCTTGTTTCGTTTTGCATCCACTACCGAACCAGTTTCCAAAAACTTTTCTAACTAAATTTCGAGCAGCGTTAGTTGATACGTAAATATCTGGATATTTCTCATTGAATTCCTGGACAACTCTACGGTAACTCTTATCTCCTCTTCCATAGCACTGTACCAAATAAATTCTGTGCTCCATCAACAAACAAACCTAATATTGACACCTGAGTCGATCTGAACAATATTTTAATATTTAACGTCATTGCAACTAATCAAAAACCGTAACCATAGAAGCGCATTATAATTTTTTAAACTTAAATATTTTAAACATATTTTTATATTTTTCGATACATCTTTGAAATTGAGGGGAAATTTGTAAAAGTATAAACTGAATTAGCCATTTTAGAACAAGCAAAAACTTTTATCAAGAATGCATTTATCTCGAAAAATTAAAAATAAAAAAGTTTTTCCTCTCATGAAGTCGAATTGGGGACATACGGTATATTAAATATTTTAATTTTCACTTTTACCCATTTGTTTGCAACTTACCCTTGTAAAATCTTTATTTATTGTGCGATTTTAACCGAATTTGTTTTAAAGCTTAGATCTTGATAAACTGCATATTTGCACAAAAACTACGGGCTAGGGTAATACAAGCCTGCGCAGCCATTACTCCCGAACAAATATGAAAGTGTATTGAAATAAATGGTGGATTAGTAGACGTGACGAAAATCCAATTGTAGAGAATTTTTAAAATTCTCTATTTTTTCATTTCATTGTTTTAAGTTTCTATTGCGTTTTTTTTTGTTAACTAAGCATAAGAAAATCTAATTGTAGAGAATTTTTAAAATTCTCTATTTTTTCATTTCATTGTTTTAAGTTTCTATTGCGTTTTTTGTTTGTTAACTAAGCATATATGCTTAGTTAACAAACATAGCTTATAAGAATATTTATACCATGTAACTATTAGTTTAATTTTATTTCAATGTCTTTTTCATGGATAACTTCCGAGATATTCAAGATTACAATTATTGTTATATGATAACAAATTAAAAAATTAATGTGACGGTCAGAGCAAAAATTCCCGAGGCTCATGAAATACCCTTTTTAGTTTTTTCAATTAAAAATTAAATCCTTTAATGCGATATAACAATTATTCCAATCTCGGAAACGGTTTATTTTATCGAAGTTTGAGAGGTACACCTTTTTAATAGTAGCCAATAGTAATCGAAAAATTGCACAAAATGTTATAAAAACCTAACCTCAAAGTTTGTATAGGACAATAAGCTTAGAACAACCCCCGTTTCTACGACACTGTGTTCAATCAAACAATTGTAATTATGTGTGAATATGCATATTCACACATAATTACAATTGTTTGAGTGAAGACACCCAACAATGGTTACCTAGTTTTTCCCAAACAGGGCAGATTTATATTTAGACATTTATATATATTATACATGATTTATTTTAAAAACAATATGTTTAATTATTTTTAATATTATTTAAAGAACAAAACTCAATAAAACTGTTTTTTTCAAAATAAAAATAAAACACTTGTATAATAATAAACATAACACTCATATAGTAATAAAATATAGTTTATTAACAAATTGTTCATAAAATAAAATCTTTATCTAAATGCCATTTAGGTATTATATGAAAATCTAAAGCATACTAT